AGGACAGAGCAGAGGAGAGGAGACAGAAGAGGACAGAGGAGAGGAGAGGAGACAGAAGAGGACATAGCAAAGGAGAGGAGACAGAAGAAGACAGGGGAGAGGAGAGGAGAGGAGAGGACAGGACAGAAGAGGACAGAGGAGAGGAGAGGAGACAGAAGAAGACAGAGGAGAGGAGAGGACAGAGGAGAGTACAGAAGAGAGGAGAGGACAGAGGAGAGGAGAGGACAGAGGAGAGAACAGAAGAGAGGAGAAGACAGAAGAGGACAGAGGAGAGGAGAAGACAGAAGAGGACAGAAGAGAGGAGAGAGGAGAGGACAGAGGAGAAGACAGAAGAGGACAGAAGAGAGGAGAGGACAGAGGAGAGGAGAGGAGAGGAGACAGAAGAGGACAGAGCAGAGCAGAGGAGACAGAAGAGGACAGAGGGCCGTATACAGGATGCTAGCAATGAAATTCTGTTTTTCTCTCTTCCTCTTCCAGGAGTGCGACAGAAGCCTGGCTCTGGAGTGATTTAGTCGCAGATAAAGATAAAGTTTCACATTTGCGCTCTCAGCACACAAACTCCTCTGACATTCAGGGACGAGGGCCGATACTCAGCGTTAACCTCATCTTCATCAATGTCACAGCTAAGAAAGCCGTCGACAGGATGATTGAAAACCAGTTTGACGCAAGCTTTAAACTTAAACCCCAATACACAGATGAAGATTTTATTTCCATTCAATTCAATCTGCATGTCTGTTCGATGCGTGTTATTGTGTGTGTGTGAAGTTTTAGCAGGTTCCTCCAGTGAATCACAATGGTCAGTGTGAGACAGAATCAAACACCCCGAGGGTCTGGAGCCATTACAGACGACACGGCTGCTTTGATTGGCTGCATTCAGCTGCCAAAAAAGGGAAATTGAGTTGTCACCGCGAGCGCACAGGTAGCAATCTCGCTCTCTGGCGTTCAGTGCCACATTCCCTATTGAACGGCTGGATATTAAATCCCCACGGACACACACACACACACACCAGCATTGTCCAGCACCTCATTTCCAGCCCAACATCACTCCCATCCTCCGCAGGATTCAATAAAAGGAGAATTCAAACTCAAACCGGCATGATAGTCGAAGCACAGCAGCTGCGGGTTTACATGACAATAAACTACAAATTCAGACCGGACAAAATCCAGTAATAACCAAACTAATGTGCCAAATTGTGTAATTGGTTTCACATTTTGAAACACTTCCTCTCGAAATGAGTTAGTTTTGTAAAAATTTCAGGTTGTCTTTTAGATTACAATGTGTTTGTCTCTTTTTTTATAAGCAAAACTGCATAAAAAGAAACGTTTACAATCCAAACTGGACTGACAACTGTTTATGGTAAAAAAAATAATAATAATAAATAAATAACACTAAAAAATAAAATGAATAAATAAATAAAAAATAAATTATATATGCTATGTATGAATTATATCACATCATCACTATTTCATATTGTAGTAATGAATTAATACAATAAATAAATGTACACTTTAATAACAACAAATTAGAAAATCATTAAAAATATATAAATAATAAATCAAATATATAACTGTATTTACTGTAGTTACACTCCAAACCAGGCTGACAACAATAATACATTTATAACAAATAATATATAGTTATATATATAAATAAGAAATACATAAAATAAATTGATACTTTAATTGTAACTTTTAAAAATAAAGAAAACACTATATATAATAAATATATATTATTTAAAATATATTTTAAAAAAAAATTCATTTAATGTAAATTGTGTAAATTATTTGAAAATAATGTGTAAATTATGTGAAACCTGTTTTTACGTAAAAAAAACTATTTACTGTATTTACATTCAAACCTGACTGGCAACTGTATTCTGTTAAAAAAATAAAAAATAAACATGAAAAACATGAAAGAAGAATATTTTAATAATAAATTAATTTCAATACTAAAAAATACCATAATTAATAAAATATAATAATAGATAATAGGAAATATATACAAAATATTATGTGTTATTTCATATATATTATTATATCTGTATTAGGGCTGTGCGATATTGAAGAAAAATGCGATGCGCGATACCTTGTTAAAAAATGCGATATTCGATATGCGATACGATAATGCTTAAAGTGTGTAAAATCAATTTCAATTATATTTTTAAATATTTAAAAATGAAAATTATATAACCAATTTGTTTCACATTCTTTCTTGGAAAAGAAAGAATCACTACAACTAGGGATTCACCGATACCGATACTGGTATCGGTATCGGGCCCGATACTGAGCTCCTGTACTCCTACTCGTACTCGTTAAAATTATTGCACTTATCTCTTTTTAACGTCAAGCAATTCTCTGCTATATGCGTCGAACTAAAACTTTGACCTTTGGCAACGTTGATTTAAGTAGCCTATTATTAAAATTATTCAGATATCGCACGCCCTTGCGATATGCATATTGCGATATTTCGATAATTTCGATATATCGTGCAGCCCTACTCTGTATGTATATATATATAATAAATAAATAAATGTTTTCCCCTGTGTGAAATGTAGAGAATGGAGAGAAATAGTGGTTCAGTTCTAGAAGTGCCAGCGGCTCGTGATTCGCTGAATGTCGTCATCACAGGAAACAGCAGCGCTAAAGTAACGGCCAAAACATGCTAAAATGAGCTGAGAGACGCTGAACTCTTCAGAGCAACAGAAACACAGATGAGACACAAACGAGACAGAAGAGTTGAAAGCGAGCTCCTGAAGCGCTCTGTAACTGCAGAGAGAAGCTCCAGATCCCACGAGTGATTGTTACCAAGGGTTCATGTGAAACAAGTGTCAGACAGAAGATCTGGGCATCAAATCCTCCTAATGATGTCCGTGTCCCAAACAAACCCTTTCTATCACGAGTTTACGGCCTTCTCTGTGCAGCCCTCGCAGTTTAACAAGGCTGAGAAATTCCACTCTCAACCTGGAGGAAGGTGGGGGGCGCCGTAAAAAGTCTCCTCTGAATTATTCATTTGCTTGATTTTCTGACTTCGCCCGAGGGACGAGAGCTGCTGTGCATGCGAGGCCTTCTCATTCATATCTCTGTACCCCATCCCAAAACACCCCCGCTGATACACAAATTAGTTTACAAACTGGACTGACAACTGTATTCTGAGAAATAAATAAACATATTATATACGCCATCTCTTTTCATCACAATATTTTAATAATAAATATATAAAATAAATTTATATTTTAATTAATAACTTTAAAAATCACATGTATTAAATATTTTATTATAAATAGTTATCTTTCTTTTTTTTTTAAATGTAAACATTTATATTATGAAGTATTATAATAATATTATATTATTTAATATATCAATAGTTCTATGTAAAATATTATTTAAAACATATATTTATATGAGTATTTGTTTTTATTAACAATATACTACTTTATTTTTTTTAATTAAAGAAAAAAATATGAATAATAAATACATAAAAATATGTATTATTAAAAACATTTATATTATGTATTATTAAAAACATTTATATTATATATTAATAATATAATATAATATATATTTATTTATTTTAAACTATTTTTAAAAGATCTATATTCAAAATATTTTAATTATGTTACAGCAGGGTTCCTCAATTAGTTTTCGCCGAGGGCCAAATTCCGCCAACAATACCAAGCCAAGGGCCACTGACCTATATATATATATATATATATACAGGTGCATCTCAATAAAT